TGTACAAGATGAACGTTTATATACTACGAGGGTTGATCCAGAACAAAGAGCTTCATCCCTATGCGTCGTTATTGAGTCAGCAGTCGTCCAGTATGGACCTTTCCATTTTTCATCCTGTCAACTTCAAGATTCGTTCCATAATTCGGACGTACAGACACCTGTCCTCTGATGACGAATACCTACCGACGGAGTCTCTCTAGCATTCAGAAAGTGAATTAAGGAATCTCGCACTTTGCGGCATCAGCAGTGAGAACATTCATATCGGAAGGCTGCTGAGCCAAGAATAAGCGTCGCAGCGATGGATCAAACAGAATTCCCCCAGACGAGCCATAAAAATGCCCCAGTTTTTATTAGTTAAAGATGGAATAAAATACCCCAAAAACGATTTATTTGTCCACTACAAGTATCCCCCAGAACGTTTTATCCCCCATAATTTCCCGAAGGTCCTGAAAACCCCCCAACATGGCAACCCTGTACAGTGAAGCGCCGCTGGGAGGAATGAAAGGTCGGGGAACAGTCGCACGCAGCGGTGTTGCTGGGTTTCGCCTCATACCTTTCAGTGTGGCTAGAGCTCTTTAAGAACTTTATTTCTGGATCAACCCACGTAAACCTAACACACTCTCACATAAGCTGTCGAGTTTATACAGAATTGTATTCCTGATCTAATATCGTAGCCTTGCCAAGAAAGCAGAATAGAGCTTATGCAGATACATAACCGTTTCTTAAGCAGTCCTTTGATTATTCTCAAATCACGCCAATTAATTGTTTCTTTAACGCTTATGTACGTGCTCTGGTAAAAATACAAAACTTGTGAATTAAACCGTGTATTAAAACCCAAAAGCTCAAACAATGATCATCGCTTTCACCGCTACACGTTTAGAGTTTCGGTTCGCGCTTGCAACCTCCCGATGACAGCAGTAAATTGACTCTCCTTGTCGAAACAAGCACGGCATAACTCCCGACAGCGGAAACATAGGCGTGCGGATTACGTTTTCCCACGGGTTAGTGGTAATTACAATGGTGGCGGTAGGGATATTTGAGACATTCCTTTCTGCTTTTTTGTATCTTAAGTAAATTCAACGTAGTCTTTACGTCCTAGAATAGTGTCAACGGAGTCAACTTCACTAAATCTACATTTTGCGAGATGTGCAGAAAAAATGTTGTAAATGTTGCATCTGTGTGTTAGCGGAAGAACGGTCCTAATTTGTCCTTATAAATCAATTTTCCTATGGCGATTATACATATCCGGTAATATACAACGTCCCTGACCACGTTAATAAGTTATTCCTCACTCAAGACTGTTATGAAGCTTTGTGGTGGTCTAATTCTTAACGTTTTATCCCCGGTAATTTCCCAAAGGTCTTGAAAACCCCCCAACATGGCAACCCTGTACAGCGAACCGCCGCCGGGTGGGGGATCAGTCGCACGCAGCGGTGTTGCTGGGCTTCGCCTTGCACCTTTCAGTGTGGCTGGAGCTCTTTGGTAATTTTATTTCTGGATCAACCCTCGTAAACCTAACACACTCTCACATAAGCTGTCGAGTGTATTCAGAATTGTGTTCCTGATCTAATATCGTAGCCTTGCCAAGAAAGCAGAATAGAGCTTATGCAGATGCATAACCGTTTGTTAAGCAGTCCTTTGATTATTCTCAAATTTGTTTGCTTATGTACGTGCTCTGGTAAAAATACAAAACTTGTGAATTAAACCGTGTATTAAACCCCAAAACCTCAAACAAACCAAACAACAATGATCATCGCTTTCACCGCTAGACGTTTAGAGTTTCGGTTCGCGCTTGCAAACTCCCGATGACAGCAGTAAATTGACTCTCCTTGCCGAAACAAGCACGGCACAGCGGAAACATAGGCGTGCGGATTACGTTTTCCCACGGGTTAGTGGTAATTACAATGGTGGCGGTAGGGATATTTGAGACATTCCTTTCTGCTTTTTTGTATCTTAAGTAAATTCAACGTAGTCTTTACGTCCTAGAATAGTGTCAACGGAGTCAACTTCACTGAATCTACATTTTGCGAGATGTGCAGAAAAAATGTTGTAAATGTTGTATCTGTGGTGTCAGCGGAATTTGCTTCATTATTAAGAAGTGTCTGATTCCAGTAACACTACGCACATGTTATAAACACATAGAGTGTCAAAAAGGCGTTCATTTTGGCTGGTCGGAGTCCAGATCACCGAGGACCTGATCTGCCACGAACACATCTCGTGAGTAGGGGCAGCTGCTGGGAAAAAGCTAGGCTATTTGTTTAGGGCTTAGAAAGACTTTTCTCCGCATGACACGTTTGGGGTGCTGGAGGAAGGAAATTGATGCGTGAATCCCATATTTTAGAGTAAAATTGACAGATAAAAATGTCAAGATGGCTGCTGGGCGCCCTCTTGGAAAAAAATTTATATTAAAACGAGGGTCTTGTGGCACATCATTTTGAAGCTCCTGGCGAGTACTTTATAACCCTAGAATATAAAGTCAATACCTTCACCTACTACAAAATGGTGGTACATTTAATAATTACTTGCCGTATCCACAGCAACAGCGATAAAAAGTTGTTTTGTTATTTTTTGTTGACAGTGACAAGAATCTCAGTACGATAACAAACATCATTATACAGTTCTGTATAGAATAAAAATAATAATAATTGTCCATGCAATTGCTGGTAGTTTGAGGTGTACAGCTGTAACGTTTAATATACTTAGTCAGGTTTCGATGTCAGTCTTTTGAATAAACAAACACCATTTTTTGTTATATGTACATGTACTATGCGCAAGTTACTCTACGCTATGTAAACAAAAAAACTAGAGTCAAATAGTGCATCGATCAATGAATGTCTATCATTGAGTTGATCTACTTGAGGATATGTTCATCGTTTGCCTGGTTAGTGCTTAGTTAACCTCCTCGACCCCATTTGTTTTACAGAACGGTCGTAATTTGTCCTTATAACTCAATTTTCCTATGGCGATTATACATATCCGGTAATATACAACGTCCCTGACCACGTTAATAAGTTATTCCTCACTCAAGACTGTTATGAAGCTTTGTGGTGGTCTAATTCTTAACGCCGAACGCTATAAATACATTCACATATACGGCTTTATTTTAAACGAGAACACATGTGCGAAGCACATCTGACTTAACAGCTTTATGTCGCGCAACTCATACCATTCCGTAACTGCTCAATCGAAATATGCTGCTTTATCTTTGCTTGTAACAACCACAGGTCAGTGGTCGGCTAGTAGTACTTGGTCGCACTTTGTCCATTCAACGGAGGTTTCTTGGATTATCGCGAGATCGAGTGTTAAGTGTTGACTTTAATTTGTTTGTTCCGCCAGGCGGCTTTACTTACTTACTGTGTAAAGAAATGAAAATGGCTGTATCAGGAAATACAGGGTCCATCAGGAAATACAGGTCTTTTTAAAGGTCTAGAAGACAAGATGCACTTATTGCAATTGAAACAGCCATTCTCTTCTCTTTGACGAAACAACGATTTTTTTGGGATGGGTTGGAAATGAGCAAATTTCCAGTTTTCTGGGAAGGTGCCGGATTCATAAGATATCTGGAAGAGACGCGAAAGAACTGGAGCAAGCACCGCTGCACACCTCTTCAGTACAATGGCAGGAATCAAGTCCGGACCAGAAGCTTTGTCGATGTCGAGAGACAAGAGCACTCGTCTTACGGTCTTATACCTGAATGTTACCCGCATAGTGTAGGGAACCCTTTGAATTGACGGCACTTGGGCGTTGGGGGAACGTCCGTGGTGGAGTTGGCAGCAAAGACCTTGGCTAGCACTTCCGCCTCATCCTGATACGTAAGTGGTGGAAGGCTGCTGTGTGAGAAGTTCTTCTCAATCTGCTTGGTCAGCGTCCAGAAAGACCGACTGTGCCATTGCGCTGCGACATTACCCTGTGCCTAACTTTTATATCACATTGCGAACCGCTTCGTTATATTTGATTCTGGACTCGACGTCGTCGGGTATTACTTAATAATTTCTTTCTTTCATTTATCCAGTGAATAACGGTGAAATAACTGTTTATCTATTAGCGTGGGTCTGCGTAGTCAATCCGCTTTACAAAAACATATAAATACCGAGGGAAGCTAGATAAATAAATTTTGAATACATCCCTGTATGCGGGAATGAAACAGGGACAAAGTAACAGGTGGTCGGAGATGGTTCAGAACTTTTTGCCATTAGTGTATGCATAACTTGGCCAATTTCATCTCGGGCATGAGTGCCTCCTCATTCACGACTAACCCAGCGTGCTGATTTGTCCATTATGATGATTGGCCCAGAATAAAACAAAAAAGAGGCGAGCACTTGTCGGTGAAGCTTGAAGTTGGAACGTGAGACGGCGGACGTTGAAAGAGAACCTGCACCGGCAACGTCGGCCTTTCGAACCATCCAACAACCAACAACCGTCGGCGACTACATTCTTCCTTCTCGGAAAAGGTACCCGCCCAATTTTACGAGAAGTCCCTCTGTTCTATACCATTCCGCATCTGTATCACGTATGCTTGTCAGCGCAAATGAATGGCCCAATCAAACGATAATAAGCTAGAAACTTGTATAGATCTTTTCCTTGAAACCAGTGCGATCCAGAATTTCAGTGGAATCAGCTGAATTTGCGAAGTTCGATAATGAACAACTCGAAATACAGGGGCACTCCTTTTCACAAGGAAACACGTTTGGAATAACAAAGTTACTTTGGGGTAAAACAACACCGAATCGTAAGAAATGATAGTTTAGAAAAGCATGCTTTTATAGCTAACCCAACTAAAAAGTAGAAAATAATTTTTAATTACAAAGAGTTTATGTTACAGTAGTAGATGGTCGAACAATCAATTGAAAATTATGTTCTACTTTTTAGTTCAATTAGCTATAAAAGCGTGTTTTTTATTTTTTTTAAACTGTTTTCTATTTTTCATTTTTAATTTCGATTTATCAATTCGTTTCTTTTTTACTGCGTTGAAAAAAAGAGAAAAAAGGTATACCACAATCTGCCTCTTGTGAGGATTGAACTCTCGACCCCTGGTTTACAAGCCCAGTGCTCTGCCATTGAGCTACAGAGGCTTGTAGTTTCACTATTCGTGAAGCGGATTTGAAATCCGTGGCTTTCTGCTTTTTACAGAATTTTACTTATAAGGATAATGGAACAATCCTTTGAATTTTGATTTTTTTAAACTAATTTTTCTGGACATTCTTTTTATTATTAAGTTGTGGCCCTAAAAAGGGATAATGCCCTTGTGCTAATATGTCCCAGTACGCGGTTAATATTTTCTTGTTATTCCAATTCTTTGCGGTTGAAACGTAGGCCGAAAACTACCATCGTAAGCTAATCGGGGAAACACTCGCACATCGCAAAGACGCCGCCTTGGATATCGAGTCGGCGTCTTTTTGCTACTGCGGCATTATGACGACATTCAAAATAAACTGCAAGCATATCAACGGCTTCATCGTTCGTGAAACGCACTTGGTAAGCACAAAAATTGCTCAAAGTAAAGCGAAACCATTGACAATTCGAGGATTATTTATGTTTTGATGAGGTATTTATTTTGTTTCATTCCATGGCCTGCTTATATTAACTGTCTTTTCGTATATACCCATAGTGAATATCCATTTAAACAAAAAATATGCCTTTTGTTATTAACATTAATTACTTAGCCTTTAGCGATATTTTGTAATATTTTCTAAAAGGGTGATTTTATTCTGATGAATAGACCAGAATTAGTGTAAAAAAAAATTGAAGAGATTTTCGTATAAAATCTTAGGTTAGGACCAAGATATCGTCATGCGGTGGTCGCGAGCTTGTTTAGCTACTTTTTCATAAAAAATATCATACCAATGCATTTAATTTTTTTGCGAAAATTAACCATTTCTGCCGGAATGTCGAAAAAAGCCCTCTAGCGGTCACATGTGAAACTAACAAAACTTCAAATATTATAACATTTGTGGCCCAAGAATAGTTCCAGCAAAATAGGGTATCAAAGACAGCAGGGGCTTGAATTTTCCTGGCTATTTACTCATGATCTGAAACTGACCTTGATTATAACCTTGAAGGTCAAATCAACGTCTAGACAAGTTTTTCGCTTGGTATCCCAGACGTTTTGTCCCGTGGAAAATTTCACTTTTGGACATGTCCTTTTCCAGCGATGTTCAAGGTCAACATATTTTTTCCCAAGGTCATATTTTAACGGAAAATTTTTGACTCTATCCGTTTCAGGGGTCAAAAGTATAGGACTCCCTTTATGAAAATCGTATTGACTTTGATTTGACCTTCAACGTCATGCTCAACATCAAATTCGACGTCACCAGGGAAAAAGTGCAATCCCAATTCCCTTTGGTTCAAATGGTTCAAATCTATGTAAACAAACGTGTACCATACTGGTTCTCTGTTGAATACGATTCTAGATGATCCTCATACCTTAACTCTAAAGTGATGCTGTAAAGATACTGAATGCATTATGAATCTATTCGCTATCTACTCACCTCATTGCTTTAATCGCCTTATAATTTAATTTTATCCATATCTTTTGCTTACGGCTGTGAAGAAAATTTCACTTTTGGACATGTCCTTTTCCAGCGACGCTCAAGGTCAACATATTTTTTTTCGCAAGGTCATATTTTAACGTGAAATTTTTCGCTCTATCCGTTTCAGGGGTCAAAAGTATAGACTCCCTTTATAAAAATCGTATTGACTTTGATTTGACCTTCAACGTCATGCTCAACATCAAATTCGACGTCACCAGGGAAAAAGTGCAATCCCAATTCCCTTTGGTTCAAATGGTTCAAATTTATGTAAACAAACGTGTACCATACTGGTTCTCAGCTGACTACGATCCTAGATGATCCTCATACCTTAACTCTAAAGTGATGCTGTAAAGATACTGAATGCATTATGAATCTATTCGCTATCTACTTACCTCATTGCTTTAATCGCCTTATAATTTAATTTTATCCATATCTTTTGCTTACGGCTGTGAAGAAAATTTCACTTTTGGACATGTCCTTTTCCAGCGACGCTCAAGGTCAACATATTTTTTTTCGCAAGGTCATATTTTAACGTGAAATTTTTCGCTCTATCCGTTTCAGGGGTCAAAAGTATAGACTCCCTTTATAAAAATCGTATTGACTTTGATTTGACCTTCAACGTCATGCTCAACATCAAATTCGACGTCACCAGGGAAAAAGTGCAATCCCAATTCCCTTTGGTTCAAATGGTTCAAATTTATGTAAACAAACGTGTACCATACTGGTTCTCTGCTGAATACGATTCTAGATGATCCTCATACCTTAACTCTAAAGTGATGCTGTAAAGATACTGAATGCATTATGAATCTATTCGCTATCTACTTACCTCATTGCTTTAACCGCCTTATAATTTAATTTTATCCATATCTTTTGCTTACGGCAGTGAAGAAAATTTCACTTTTGGACATGTTCTTTTCCAGCGACGTTCAAGGTCAACATATTTTTTCCCAAGGTCATATTTTAACGGAAAATTTTTGGCTCTATCCGTTTCAGGGGTCACAAGTATAGGACTCCCTTTATAAAAATCGTATTGACTTTGATTTGACCTTCAACGTCATGCTCAACATCAAATTCGACGTCACCAGGGAAAAAGTGCAATCCCAATTCCCTTTGGTTCAAATGGTTCAAATTTATGTAAACAAACGTGTACCATACTGGTTCTCTGCTGAATACGATCCTAGATGATCCTCATACCTTAACTCTAAAGTGATGCTGTAAAGATACTGAATGCATTATGAATCTATTCGCTATCTACTTACCTCATTGCTTTAATCGCCTTATAATTTAATTTTATCCATATCTTTTGCTTACGGCAGTGAAGAAAATTTCACTTTTGGACATGTTCTTTTCCAGCGACGTTCAAGGTCAACATATTTTTTTTCGCAAGGTCATATTTTAACGTGAAATTTTCCGCTCTATCCGTTTCAGGGGTCAAAAGTATAGACTCCCTTTATAAAAATCGTATTGACTTTGATTTGACCTTCAACGTCATGCTCAACATCAAATTCGACGTCACCAGGGAAAAAGTGCAATCCCAATTCCCTTTGGTTCAAATGGTTCAAATCTATGTAAACAAACGTGTACCATACTGGTTCTCTGCTGAATACGATTCTAGATGATCCTCATACCTTAACTCTAAAGTGATGCTGTAAAGATACTGAATGCATTATGAATCTATTCGCTATCTACTCACCTCATGGCTTTAATCACCTTATAATTTAATTTTATCCACATCTTTTGCTTACGGCTGTGAAGAAAATTTCACTTTTGGACATGTCCTTTTCCAGCGACGTTCAAGGTCAACATATTTTTTCCAAGGTCATATTTTAACGTGAATTTTTCCGCTCTATCCGTTTCAGGGGTCACAAGTATAGGACTCCCTTTATAAAAATCGTATTGACTTTGATTTGACCTTCAACGTCATGCTCAACATCAAATTCGACGTCACCAGGGAAAAAGTGCAATCCCAATTCCCTTTGGTTCAAATGGTTCAAATCTATCTAAACAAACGTGTACCATACTGGTTCTCTGCTGAATACGATTCTAGATGATCCTCATACCTTAACTCTAAAGTGATGCTGTAAAGATACTGAATGCATTATGAATCTATTCGCTATCTACTCACCTCATTGCTTTAATCACCTTATAATTTAATTTTATCCATATCTTTTGCTTACGGCTGTGAAGAAAATTTCACTTTTGGACATGTCCTTTTCCAGCGACGTTCAAGGTCAACATATTTTTTTCCCAAGGTCATATTTTAACGGAAAATTTTTGGCTCTATCCGTTTCAGGAGTCAAAAGTATAGGACTCCCTTTATAAAAATCGTATTGACTTTGATTTGACCTTCAACGTCATGCTCAACATCAAATTCGACGTCACCAGGGAAAAAGTGCAATCCCAATTCCCGTTGGTTCAAATGGTTCAAATTTATGTAAACAAACGTGTACCATACTGGTTCTCAGCTGACTACGATCCTAGATGATCCTCATACCTTAACTCTAAAGTGATGCTGTAAAGATACTGATTGCATTATGAATCTATTCGCTATCTACTTACCTCATTGCTTTAATCGCCTTATAATTTAATTTTATCCATATCTTTTGCTTACGGCTGTGAAGAAAAATTCACTTTTGGACATGTCCTTTTCCAGCGACGTTCAAGGTCAACATATTTTTTCCCAAGGTCATATTTTAACGGAAAATTTTTGACTCTATCCGTTTCAGGGGTCAAAAGTATAGGACTCCCTTTATAAAAATCGTATGGACTTTGATTTGACCTTCAACGTCATGCTCAACATCAAATTCGACGTCACCAGGGAAAAAGTGCATCCCCAATTCCCTTTGGTTCAAATGGTTCAAATTTATGTAAACAAACGTGTACCATACTGGTTCTCAGCTGAATACGATCCTAGATGATCCTCATACCTTAACTCTAAAGTGATGCTGTAAAGATACTGAATGCATTATGAATCTATTCGCTATCTACTCACCTCATTGCTTTAATCGCCTTATAATTTGATTTTATCCATATCTTTTGCTTACGGCTGTGAAGAAAATTTCACTTTTGGACATGTCCTTTTCCAGCGATGTTCAAGGTCAACATATTTTTTCCCAAGGTCATATTTTAACGGAAAATTTTTGGCTCTATCCGTTTCAGGGGTCACAAGTATAGGACTCTCTTTATAAAAGTCGTATTGACTTTGATTTGACCTTCAACGTCATGCTCAACATCAAATTCGACGTCACCAGGGAAAAAGTGCAATCCCAATTCCCTTTGGTTCAAATGGTTCAAATTTATGTAAACAAACGTGTACCATACTGGTTCTCAGCTGACTACGATCCTAGATGATCCTCATACCTTAACTCTAAAGTGATGCTGTAAAGATACTGAATGCATTATGAATCTATTCGCTATCTACTTACCTCATTGCTTTAATCGCCATATAATTTAATTTTATCCATATCTTTTGCTTACGGCTGTGAAGAAAATTTCACTTTTGGACATGTCCTTTTCCAGCGACGTTCAAGGTCAACATATTT